AGTAGGGAGAAGCCCCCCCCCCACCCACCGAGACCCGCCGGCCGAGCAGGGGAGCAGGGGCCGGCCCAGCCAAAGGGCAGCCGCCCCCAGCCCGCGCTGCCGCAGCCCTCGTCGCTGGCCACCGGATCTGACGACGCAGCCACTGCTGCCCCGCCGCCCCCAAGCCAGCACGCCTCGCCACCAGCTCCACGCAGTCGCCGCCGCGCTGTGACGCGCATCCGCCGCCGCGCCACCCTGCGCCAGCGCCGCGCACCTCGCCTGACCCATGTGTCTCGCGCCACAGGGCCCCAGGGGAGGTGGGAGGGGAACCCCGCCGCCACCGACGTCAGCCGGGCTTCGCCCGGTGGCGCCCTCCGGCGGCGGCGGGGAGGGGGAGAGGCGGGGAGGGGGAGCTCGGGCGACGGCTAGGTTTTCGCCCTGCCGCCCGCGAGAGCGGCTCGGGCGAGAGGGGCGCCACCGTGATTGTTATAAGTCGTCTAACCATTGTTCCTGTAATATAATAATTGTGTTGGCATCTGCCACCGTGATATTTTTGAGGGAAACAGCAGGACTCTGGACTCTGCTGCATATTTTTATTAATTTTCAAATAAATGGTACAAATAGGAATTCTTAAAAAGAAAATAAAGAGCTATACAGGGAAAAAATCGAAGGAAACTACAAGAAATAAACAAGAGATACAACAAAATACAGCAGGTACAAGGTGTGTAGATCATCTGAATGCTGCCACCCAGTGAGCCACGCCACTGTACTCCTTCCTCTGAGCTCTGTAAGTAGGCCATTTCATCTCCTCCTTGAAACACCGTCTGCAATTATACATATTTGGAGGAATTTGGTTGAAGATGAAATCATATCTGGTAATCCAGATTGCTCAGGAAATCAATAAAATAAAAACCCGCAAAAAATAAAAGGTAGGTTGATCAAATGCTTGAGTTGCTCAACTTCCTCCTGAACATCTGACTGGGTTGATGTCCAAGAAGGACAAATATATTGCCAGCACATTTTAGCAAATGGGCATAGGAAAAACAAGCGATCTCTTGTTTCCAGCATTTGCCTGTTACACATAACACAGGTATAATCCTGTAAAAAGAAGCTCTTTCTCTGTAGCATGGCCCTAGTATTCTGTCTGAGTGTCTGTTATTCACCAGAAGCCGCCACCGTGATATTAAACCATAGAACGTTGTCGTGAGATTTTTAACCTCCTTTTCTATGCTTAGTATGTTGTCCCAAACATATGTTTCCTCAAATTCCGCTTGGTTGTTTGGCTAGTTGAGCTTTCTTTAGATCAGGAAAAACATTCTCAAATCAAATTTGAATAACCACTAGTACATTCTGTACTAACCTAGTAAGCTTTCCACTGTTGGTTAACCCACATATCAAAATCTGTGATTTTGGCAGTGCAAAAGCCTTGGTAAGTTATCTTCTATAATTAGGTAGAAATTTAAATGCACGAGTCCTGCTGATTGCGAAAATAACATGCGAAACATTCTTGGTAAGAACAAAAAGAAAAGGTGCGCACTAATGCTAGTGAGAATTCAGTTGATCAGCTGGTTGAGATTATCAAGGTGAAATCTTGTACAGTACGTACGACATTTGGAACTGTTTTCTCCTGCGACCTGCATTCTTTACAATGACATGTTCAGTCATAGTGCGATCGCAGGTCTTGGGGGTACTCCAACAAGGGAAGAGACCAAGTGCATGAATCCAAACCACACGGAGTTCAAGTTCCCACAGATTAAGGCTCGTCCGTGTCACAAGGTAATGTGTGCATATTATATTTACCTGTCATGCAAAATTGCCTGGTCTGCACAATTGTTGTTCTAGTTGGCGCGTACTTTCAGGACATGGAGAGTTTTAACATTGACTAGCGTGCTGATAATTTGTGAGAAATAATAAGTGACAAGTGGATACTGTAACATTTGAGAACAACTTCTGAACTGTTACTAGTAACAAAAATGGAAAGCTGATGCAACGAAAAAGGAAACAAAAAAGCCATACTTTTTTTTGAGGTAGGAAAGAAAAGCCATACGAGACTGATGTTTCTCAGATGGGCCGGGCTCTGTCTATCTAACAGGCAGCAGCCCACCAACCTCACGGGCCAGCACTTACCAGTCCTAAAAGCTCCCACCGAGGGGGCGTTGGCGCTGCTGTGCAGCAGCATGCCTAACATTAGTCCCACCTCGCCAGTTTACAGGGAGCAGAACCAGCTTATAAGCCGAGGCGCAGCAGCAGGTAGCACGACCTTACTTGAACAGGATCTGTTCTATAGGCTCGTACCGCTGCATCCTTTACCAATAAGGAGGCAAGCACTTCAGTCTGGTTGATGCATTCTGACCTCTGGGCCAGAGCGTGATTAACGGCCAGGATTCCCTGATGGGGCAATCCGACGGCTGTAGAGGATCGTCCCTGCCTGGCTCACACCTGTGCAGGGTGGCCCAGAGGTTGTCTGACAGACTACAAATATTTTTCCCTTCTGTTTTTTAAGCCAGCCTCTTTTTTTCAAAATAACTGAAGAAGTGATAGTTAAGTACTCTAAGTTACTGAACAAAGAGAGAACAATGAATTAAGGAAAAAAGTGATGGTTGTCTGACAGACTACAAATATTTTTCCCTTCTGTTTTTTAAGCCAGCCTCTTTTTTTCAAAATAACTGAAGAAGTGATAGTTAAGTACTCTAAGTTACTGAACAAAGAGAGAACAATGAATTAAGGAAAAAAGTGATGGTTGTCTGACAGACTACAAATATTTTTCCCTTCTGTTTTTTAAGCCAGCCTCTTTTTTTCAAAATAACTGAAGAAGTGATAGTTAAGTACTCTAAGTTACTGAACAAAGAGAGAACAATGAATTAAGGAAAAAAGTGATGGCTAAAAAAGGAGAGTGAAATCTGAACAAAAGACCGGGGACTAAACAGTTACCAACTTTATGCACATACGCTAACTCGGTTTTATCAAGAATTCTTGTAAAGTATGACAAGCTTTTTAAACTAAAATTTCTAAAAACTGATCCTAAAACTGAGAAAAATGTCTGAAGATTAGCACATAGCTAAACTCTCATGACTGAACACTGACAAGACTAAGGACTAGTAATTAAAACTCAGAAGCTCTGGCTACAGTTGGTGGGTGACTGACCTCGCCCGACAGCGCCACCTCCACTTCAAACTTCTATTTTTTCTCTTAGAAAAACAGTATGTAAGTTCTCCATGTAGGGTGCTGCCGTATTGATACTCGACCTAGCGCTTAGTATAGCTGAAGAAGAATACACTGAAATCTGATATGAGCCTTCATGTTCCTAGAAAATTATAACTGGCAGAAAAGCAAATGGATATTAGTAATGAAAAGCAAATGAAATTACAAGAGTCTGAAACCTGAGCTGAGACTTCATGTTTCTAAATAAGTTATAACTGGCAGAAGAAGAACAAGAAAATGCAATGTCTGGTGACCAAAAGGCCAAAGAGACCAAAAACCGCCTACTGACTAGTGATTTTTTAACGGAAGATTACTCACTATTGGTGCAAAACAAAACTCCCCTTGTAATGAACTAGCAATAGGCAAATGAAGAAAGCTGCACAAAAACTACTAGTAGCACAGATGGTTGCACTAGGCCATCAAAAAGAAAAACAGGAAGCAAAAGCTAGCAGCAAGCACCAAGCACCACTTGAAAGATTGTGCATTAATCCATACAGATGTATAGTTCTTCACAGAAAAAGGACAGTAACGTGTTAAAAAACAAGTCTATATTCCGTTAACAGAGTTTAGTACTAGAAACTATGTAAGCAAAAAAAATATGATTTGCGAGTAAAATTGGTGAAATTATCCTAAAAATGATTAACACTAGTTAGTCGCTCCAGAAAACAAAATGAACCCCACGCAACTAGTTGGTAAGATGAAAGAAATAGCCTCACGAGCATTACACTTTCACATTGCTATAGCAGCATCAACAAGATAAAAATGATCTACTGTCCACGCGATGAACAAGATGAAATGGGCCGGCAAAAACCACCACTAGTCACAATATGTTACTGTAGCTTGCTTCTAGCTGGCTTTCTACCAATTTTTTTTACTTGATAATCAGGGGCTCTCCCACGGGCTCCATTTTATATAAAAATGATCCCAGTTCAGTTTTTTTTGTAGCAGCAGAAAGTAAAACAGGAAACTTTCACTCAACTCTGGTCTAAGAAGTAAGAACAGCACTGTCCAGATACTGCACTCGTACAGCCCATATTTTCAGCAGTTATGACTGTACTAAGCAGCAGGAATCAAACACACGGAGGGAACAGATTACAACACTCAGGCCTGATCACATCACATGAATGCTATCATCGAGCTCTGGATGCAGCTTTAGGAACTGTACCAAAAATTCATGTCTGCCTCAATTAAAATGGACCCATCTTAGGCAAAGGCAGGAGCAGGGTACATGGCGAACCTTGCAAGAATCTGGAACTGAGTCACAAAGCCGAACAGAGGAGCAAGGTTCTGAAACAAAGCTCCCTGAACCGAACGGAGGGCCAAGCACACGGCTGACTGGGGAAACCAAGCCATGGTGCCCGTCGACTGGGTGGCGCGCATCGGCGCTCCAGCCGCGGCGACTACCGGCGGATGAGACGAGGCACTGAGCGAATGGGGGCAAAGGCGGGGCTCGCCGTACCTGCCTCGCCGGCGACTCACCACTCGCTCTTGGCAGGGCCAATGGGGGAGCCCCCGCCGTGCTCCTCTCCATCCCCTCCATTTCCTGCCTCGTTCCCTCGCCGGCAGCTCGCCTCCCCGCCCTCGTCCCGCTGCGCTGTGACAATGATGAACTGACACGTGCCTCCGCATATAGGAAAAAAAAAGCGTGGGCGCCCTGGAAACTGGGCGGGCCGGGCTTCAAACCCGGTAAAAAACGTCGCCCAAAGCCCACATGAGCGACAGGCCCGACGGACAAACCCACGAGAACATCGCTCTTTGACTCAAAAGAAAAAAAAAACGAGAACATCGGTCTGAGATTTCAATCCGCCGCCGCCGGAGCAATGGCGCTCGGCACCTGCGTCCTCCCTTCGTTCTCTCCCCAGGCTGCCGTCCTCCGCCGTACGTCCACCGTAGCCAGCGCAGCTGCAGCCTCCCGGATCGGCGGCTTCCTCTCCAGCAAGCCCTACGCGCTGCCGCCCTGGGCGTCGGGCCTTTCCCACGCCCCGTCCCACACCTTCTCCCTCGGCCACTTCCCGACCCCGATCCACCGGTGGAACCTGCCCGACCTGCCCAAGGGCACGGAGGTGTGGATCAAGCGGGACGACCTCGCCGGCATGCAGCTGAGCGGCAACAAGGCGCGGAAGCTCGAGTTCCTCGTGGCGGACGCCGCCGCGCGGGGCGCCGACTGCGTCGTCACCGCCGGCGGCATCCAGAGCAACCACTGCCGGGCCACCGCCGTGGCCGCCAAGTACGCCGGCCTCGACTCCTATCTGATACTCTGCACCCCCAAGCTCCTCGTGGACCGGGACCCCGGCCTGGTCGGCAACCTGCTCGTCGAGAGGCTGCTGGGCGCGCACATCGACCTGGTCTCGCAGAGAGAATTTTTGAAGTTTGGGAGCGTGGCTCTCACCGAACTGCTGAAGAAGAGGCTCCTGGAAGAGGGGCGGCGGCCGTACGTGATCCCTGCCGGCGGATCGAACGCACTGGGGAATTGGGGATACATCGAAGCAGTAAGGGAGATTGAGGAACAAATTCAGTCATCTGATGGTGGTCTTCAGTTTGATGACATTGTTGTCGCGTGCGGCAGCGGCGGAACCGTCGCCGGCCTCGCTTTGGGATCGCAGCTGAGTAGCCTGAAGGCCAAAGTCCACGCCTTCTCTGTCTGCTATGGCCCTAAATACTTCTATGACTCTGTTCAAGGTCTGATCGATGGGCTTCAGTCTGGTCTGGACTCACATGATATAGTCAGCATTGAAGATGCCAAGGGCTTGGGTTATGCCAAGAGCACGGGTGATGAACTTAGATTTGTGAAGGATGTCGCTGCGGCGACAGGCATCGTGCTCGATCCGGTCTACACCGGGAAGGCGGCTTACGGTATGCTGAAGGACATGTCAGATAATCAAGCCAAGTGGGAAGGGCGAAAGGTCCTGTTTGTTCACACCGGTGGTCTCCTTGGGTTGTATGATAAGGTGGATCAGTTGTCGTCTTTGGCCGGGGGCTGGCTCAGAATGGACCTTGAAGAACCTGTGCTCCATGCAAATCTCAACTAGGACTGGCTGTTTATCTTTTTTGACTAGTGTTCCTGATTTTGTGCACCCACGACCACGAGGCCACGGCCATAGCATTTGAATACTACTCCCTCCGTTCCAAATTACTCGTCGTGGTTTTAGTTCAAATTTGAACTAAAACCACGACGAGTAATTTGGAACGGAGGGGATACTTTACGGGAATTCATTTGTGTGTTTTTCTGCCAGGATGACTTGATCTGCAGTGCTAGCGGTTAACAAATCAATACTGAGGTTGAGTTTCGTGGTATTAAAAATTTCTCTAATTCTTAGAGAATATGGAATAGTACCTTTAATAATAGACTTTCAAATAATTTGTTCTGTTCCTTTGTGTCATGCATTTGAAAATTTTGTCTTATCATTTATGGTAAAGCTTATCATCAATTGTAAAATTATGATTCTAAAACTTGTCTATTCTGGGGTTATCTTAAAGGAAATTGATTAAATCTATTCATATATCTTAAAGGAAATTGATTAAATGTATTCATATAACACTGGACGAGCACTTGGAACATGGGCAAGATGTTTGCTGGAGACCCTCCAAATCAGGTAACTGTACATCTCAAAGTGCCTACAGAATCTTCTTACATTAACCAAAAATAAATGATACTATCACTGAGATGAACTTTAATCAGATTAGCCTCGGCTTTGTTAAACAAGTTTGGAAAAATGAAAATGTTCTTGCTAGTGTTCAAACTTTTGTTTGGAGACCACTTACTAAATCTTTGGCTGTTGCATGGGAGAATTTTAAAAAGTTTCTCCCAACTGCGATAGATTTGGAGATCTTGAAACAGACGAACACTAATTCTTCAACTGCCCTTACTCCAGAGCTATTTGGTTTCACTCTATCCATCCTTTTGAACTGAGGCCCACTCTGATGATAATTTCACATGTGCTAGTTTTATTCATACTATCTTTTCTCAAGCACCTGAGTCTTCTGTAATTGATTATGACCTCTATCTTCTCTGGCACATTTGGAAAGCTAGAAATGATCCAAGTTTTAAGGGGGAAAACACCACTATCCATTCTGTTCTGCACACTGCTAATGCGCATGTCGCTCTCACGCTCTAGCCCTTTGTGCAGAGACCTCCCTCCCCTGCCAGTCTAATGCTTTGCTGGTACCATCTATATTTAATGGAGCAGATCGACTGACAGACGGTGAACATCATCCGGCAGCAACTTGCTTCTATTTCTCAATCTCATGCTGCAGGTCTTGAAATTTACATTTGTGCCAACACGCCATGCATCTCTGCATGTATCAAAGTGCAAGCTCTGCTTCTCTGTAGCTGATGCAGAAGCTCATGCTTTACTTGTAGCCACACATATGTTCGATCAGCTTCAAATCAATAACTGCACCCTGTTATCTGATAATATAGCTGTTGTTCAAGCAATCGATGCGACATATTCCTAATGCCATCGGTTGAATGGAAACTCAGGCCAACCATCTCTTCGATCAGACAAGTGGGTCATGCCATTAGTGCAGGATTCCTTCACATATCTAGAGATTGAAATAATCAAGGATGTAACATGTTTATCTAATCAATGAATACCCCTGAGGTGTCTTCCTTAAAAAAACATGTGTGCTTAGAAACATGCTAATTTTACACATATAATTTGCTGTCCCAAATAAAGATACTTTGTACTGAATGTTGGGTCGAGCTCGTGAGCGTAACACATCATTAAGAGGGATTTACTGCATTTTAGTATTGATTAAGCGAATTTTATATTAAATTCTCACATAAGGAGAGGCTTGCAGTAGCGAAAAGGTTTGGTGACTAGACATAATATATCTATCTAAAAATAAAATGTTAGTTTAAGCTTAGCACATAATTAATTAATCTTAAGTGACTTCCATACTATGCTAAACAATACTATGTGTGAATCGTGATACTCCTAAAAGTAGGCAAGATAATGTTTCATACTTGTAATCTTGCGCCACCCAAAAGCAGCAACCATTTACTTGTACTGAAAGCTAAGAATATTGAACCACCATGATATACCAAGACCAGCCACCAGTTTTCTAGTGTATTCAGGTGAACTCTTGCACTACAAGTTTAACAGATTTAGTTCATGGGCTACTATTCTAGAAGAAAAATTAAAAAGTCCATGTGCAGTCCTCATCAGTATATAATATAGTACTACGATGGTGATGGCGCTGAAATGCAGTTATCGCCGCGGGTATTTCAGAATTGGCAGCACTCACTCACATTATTCTTTTTCATGTTTCATACTTGTAAAGTGTGTGTATGTGTGTGAACTGCAATTCTCCTAGAAGTAGGTGAAATCATGTTTCATACTTGTAAAATTGCACCGCCCAAAATCAGCAACCGTATGTATACTTGTACTAAAAGCTATGAATATTGAACTGCCATGCTATTCCAAAACCAGCTACCATTATTCAAGTGCGCTCTTGCACTGCAAGTGTAGCTGCCGTTACTAAAAACTAAGAATAGTTGATTCAGCTACTATTCCAGGAGAAAAAGAAGGTTCATCTGCAGTCCTCCACCAGTATAGATTATGTAATGATAGCGATGATGCCGAAATGCAGATTTTTGTTTTGTTTTTTGCTGTGGAGATTTCAGAATTGGCAGCACTCACTCACATGATTCTTTTTCATGGTTAGGTTTGGGGCCGGCCACGGCCTTGTCGAAAGGGGGAGGAGGTAGGAAGAGTAAGAAGAGGAAAGGGACAAGATACCAGAACAAAATGGCTGAAAAGCACCATGATTGGGTTGCAAGGAAGGAAGCCCAAGACATGTGGCAGGGGTGGAGGGGAAGAAGGGTACAGTGCACTGAACTTCACCTCGTGCCAAAAAGCAGGGCCTGATTGATGGTTACTCCTCTCTAACCTAGACCCCTTTTTGTTTCCTCTCCCCTGCATACATACATCCCTGCCTTGCAGCCTCTGCTCTGCTCCCTCATTTCACCCCACCCCACCCCATGAGGCCATAACCCTCGGGCTCTATCATCAAGGCTTCCTGCCTTCCTCATGGGGTGGCTCCGCTCCCTCTTCTCCCCCCTGAGGAAGATCATTGTCCGCGCACATTCGGCGCGCAAATACCGTAAGATCGACCGACTTCTCGTCTTCTTTGCTTTGTTGTGGAAATCTTGATTTCTTCTGTTGTAGCATTGTGGAGGGTTGGGGGGAATGGGGCTCTGTTTTTCTCTTCCTTGTGCCATTGTTGTTTGCTAGGCACTGACATTGTTGTGCTTGTTGGCAGGGAGGGGGATGAGGATCCTGTACAAGGACGTCAAGTCCTGCGAGGACGAAGATGTGCACGTCCTGTGGTCCATCCTGGTCGACTCGCACCGCCACCCGGCCATGGTGAAGCTGAAGCTCTAGGACGGCCATGGCGGCGGCACGCGGTTTTCGCCATCGAGCCGGCGGCCATCATCTTTCGTGTGGAACTGCACAGTTTCAATGGCAATGCCGTCCGGGAAAAGACGAGCAGATACTTTCCTTGTGTGTGTGCGTGTGTGACACCGGTCTGATGTGTGCATCTTGTGACTTTGTGGGTGAGGTTGAGACGTCGCCTTTGCTTTGATGTGAGTGTGAGGTTGAGCTGATGTATCTGTATATAGAAAGCTCTGGGTGCCTTACCTAATGGTATTGAGTTTGGTTTCTTTTCCATTGTTTTTTGCTCAGTCATAATTTCTCGGTTGACTTGTGTGCTTGTTGTGTGTTTGCGCTTTCAATTGTTTGTGGATATTTGTATTATATTGCTGTGTATGGGTTTGTATAGCAGAGACATTGATGTCAAGATTGTAAAATAATGCGGTGGTTCTACCCATTTTTATAATTTATTTAATAGCTACCAAACTAATCGACCGACACATCTTGCATAATCTAAGAACAGAATAAAAGCGTTAAAGGATTTTAAAAGCTGGTTCATGGCAAAAAGAAAGTAATTTAAAAGACAAGTTTGAGAACTTCCATGGCACATCGGAATTTATCTCCTTTTAGAGCTAAAATCATATACATTGTTGTAAAGGACACCAATACGGCTCGACGCACGTTGTCATGTTCACCGTTACATCAGCATAGACGACATCTGGCGCACACGCACATTTTTGCACGGTGGACTAACGGCCTATCACGCGCTATGATCAGCTCACTCACGTTTGCACTTTACCTACGCCTCGTTATAAATTCATCAATCTATGATGAATACTAAGAGCATAAATCTTTTTTTAAAGAGCATAATCCATCCTTTCTTCACCCGCAAAAAAAATCCATCATTTCTTAAAAAAGAGCATATTTTACATAAATGAACCTTCTATAATCCAAAGAGGCCTTAAAGAAAAACAACAACTTCTTTAGTCAAAAGAATTATTATTTTTAGAGCAACCATAATGTTCACAGGGACACAAGCTATGTTCTGTGGGAAGGCGAGCCACATATTTCGTTCACACTCTAAGCTACAAGCAACTTTGACTAAATTATAAGCCTCGAAATTACATGACCTAGGGGGTGGAGCCAACGACATTCATATCAACATTTGTAAAGTAATGCACTGAATCTTAACCATTTTTTAATTTAACACTGTAGCTAGCTAACAAATCGACCTACACATCCTGCATAATCTGAGAAGCAACATTATAGAAGTGTTAAAGGAATTTAAAAGCCAGTTTGCAAAAACAAAAAAATGCGATTTGAGCAGACATGAGAACCTCCACGTCACATCTGATTTTCCACCCCGTTAGAGCCCAAATCATGTACATTATTATAAATGACACCAACACGTCGCGACCCACACGCACATTAGCACACGCACCATCTACATGGTGCACGCGCAGTTTTGCACGGCAGACCAACGACCCGTCACGCACTATGACCAGCTCACTCACTTGCGCTTTGCCTTTACCGTGTTGTAAATTCATTAACCTATGATAAAAACTAAGAGCATAAACCCGTTCTTCAAAAAATAGCATAAATCCATTCTTTTGAAGAAAAGAGCATATCTCACGCAAATGGGTTTTCTATAATCTAAAGAGGCATTAAAGGGAAAAACAACAACTCTTTTTAGCTGAAAAAACAATTATTATAGCAACCGAGAAGCTTTATTGCACAGAGGGATACAAGCGATGTTCGGAGGGGAGGCTAGCCAGATATTTCGCCCACACTCGGAAGCTACAAGCAGCTCTGCCTGAATCATGAGTTTCAAAGTTAAGCGATGTGGATGCCAACACTAGTAAAACAATGCAGTGGTTCTTACCCATTTTTTTTCAATTTAATAGCTGGCTAACTAATTGACCTACACGTCCCGCATAATATGAGGAGTATAACAGAACAAAAGTGTTAAAGGATTTTAAAAGCCAGTCCGCAAACAAGAAAATAAGTGATTTAGAAAGATAAGATTGAGAATTTCCAAGACACGTTGGAATTTTGCGCCGAGATCATATATATTACTGTAAAGAACAACACCAACGCGGCGCGGCGCGATCTGCACGCGCATTGTCACGTTGCCGTCACATCAGCACACACACACGACATCTTCACGGCGCACACGCAGTTTTGTAAGTGCTACGTCTTGAACTTGCGTTGGTTTTCTCCGAAGAGAAAGGGATGATGCAGCAAAGTAGCGTAAGTATTTCCCTCAGTTTTTGAGAACCAAGGTATCAATCCAGTAGGAGCCCACGCTCAAGTCCCTCGTATCTGCACAAAGCGATAGCTACTCGCAACCAACGCGATTAGGGGTTGTCAAGCCCTTCACGGTCACTTACGAGAGTGAGATCTGATAGATAGAATATTTTTGGTATTTTTGATATAAGGATGCAAAGTAAAAAGTAAAAGCAAAGTAAATAGCAAAACAATATAAAAGTGATGGAGATTGATATGATGAGAATAGACCCGGGGGCCATAGGTTTCACTAGCGGCTTCTCTCAAGAGCATAAGTATTCTACGGTGGGTGAACAAATTACTGTTGAGCAATTGATAGAATTGTGCATAATTATGAGAATAACTAGGCATGATCATGTATATAGGCATCACGTCCGTGACAAGTAGATCGAAACGATTCTGCATCTACTACTATTACTCCACTCATCGACCGCTATCCAGCATGCATCTAGAGTATTAAGTTAAAAACAGAGTAACGCCTTAAGCAAGATGACATGATGTAGAGAGATAATTTCATGCAATATGAAATAAACCCCATCTTGTTATCCTTGATGGCAACGATACAATACGTGCCTTGCTGCCCCTTCTGTCACTGGGTAAGGACACCGCAAGATCAAACCCAAAGCTAAGCACTTCTCCCATGGCAAGAACTACCAATCTAGTTGGCCAAACCAAACGGATAATTCGAAGAGAGTTGCAAAGATAACCAATCATGCATAAAAGAATTCAGAGAAGATTCAAATATTATTCATAGATAGACTTGATCATAAACCCACAATTCATCGGTCTCAACAAACACACCGCAAAAAGAAGATTACATCGAATAGATCTCCACAAGAGAGGGGGAGAACTTTGTATTAAGATTCAAAGAGAGAGAAGAAGCCATCTAGCTACTAACTATGGACCCGAAGGTCTGAGGTAAACTACTCACACTTCATCGGAGGGGCTAGGATGATGTAGAAGCCCTCCGTGATGACGGCCCTCTTCCGGCGGAGCTCCGGAACAGGCTCCAAGATGGGATCTCGTGGATACAAAAAGTTGCGGCGGTGGAATTAGGGTTTTGGCTCCTGTTCTGATCGTTTGGGGGTACGTGTGTATATATAGGAGGAATGAGTATGTCGGTGGAGCACCGAGGGGCCCACGAGGCAGGGGGCGCGCCCCCCACCCTCGTGACCACCTCTTTGATCCCTCGCAGTAGGGTCCAAGTCTCCTGGATCACGTTCGGTGAGAAAATCACGTTTCCGAAGATTTTATTCCGTTTGGAGTCCGTTTGATATTATGTTTATCCGAAACACTAAAATAGGCAAAAAATAGCAATTCTGGGCTGGACCTCTGGTTAATAGGTTAGTCCCAAAAATAATATAAAAGTGGAAAATAAATCCCAATATAGTCCAAAACAGTAGATAATATAGCATGGAGCAATCAAAAATTATAGATACGTTGGAGACGTATCAGACATCCCCAAGCTTAATTCCTGCTCGTCCTCGAATAGGTAAATGATAAAAAGATAATTTTTGATGCGGAGTGCTACTTGGCATAATTTCAATGCAAATCTTCTTAATTGTGGTATGAATATTCAGATTAGAAACATTCAAGACAAAAGTTTATATTGACATAGAAAATAATAATACTTCAAGCATACTAACAAAGCAATTATTGTTGGAAATATGCCCTAGAGGCAATAATAAAATGATTATTATTATATTTCCTTGTTCATGATAATTGTCTATTATTCATGCTATAATTGTGTTATCCGGAAAGCATAATACATGTGTGAATACATAGACCATAACATGTCCCTAGTGAGCCTCTAATTAACTAGCTCGTTGATCAATAGATAGTCATGGTTTCCTGACTATGGACATTGGATGGCATTGATAACGGGATCACATCATTAGGAGAATGATGTGATGGACAAGACCCAATCCTAAGCATAGCACAAGATCGTGTAGTTCGTTTGCTAGAGCTTTTCCAATGTCAAGTATCATTTCCTTAGACCATGAGATCGTGTGACTCCCGAATGCCATAGGAGTGCTTTGGGTGTACTAAACATCACAACGTAACTGGGTGACTATATAGGTATACTACAGGTATCCCTGAAAGTATCTGTTGGGTTGACACGGATCGAGACTGGGATTTGTCACTCCGTATGACGGAGAGGTATCTCTGGGCCCACTTGATAATGCATCATCATAATGAGCTCAATGTGACCAAGTGTTTGGTCATGGGATCATGCATTACGGTACGAGTAAAGTGACTTGCCGGTAACGAGATTGAACGAGGTATTGGGATACCGACGATCGAATCTCGGGCAAGTAATGTACCAATTGACAAAGGGAATTGAATACGAGATTGATTGAATCCTCGACATCGTGGTTCATCCGATGAGATCATCGTGGAACATGTGGGAGCCAACATGGGTATCCAGATCCCGCTGTTGGTTATTGACTGGAGAGTCGTCTCGGTCATGTCTGCGTGTCTCCCGAACCCGTAGGGTCTACACACTTAAGGTTCGGTAACGCTAGGGTTTTTGAGATATTAGTATGCGGTAACCCGAAAGTTGTTCGGAGTCCCGGATGAGATCCCGGACGTCACGAGGAGTTCCGAAATGGTCCGGAGGTAAAGATTTATATATAGGAAGTCCAGTTTCGGCCATCGGGAAAGTTTCGGGGGTAATCGGTATTATACCGGGACCACCGGAAGGGTCCCGGGGGTCCACCGGG